CCGTTTCCGCCCCGAAAAGACTCTGTGCGGGTGCCGACTGCTGGCGCCGACGACCATCATGCCCTCGTCCCACAAAGGGACCAGCTCTGGCGCCGACGCTCTGGAAAGTCAGATCGTGACATACAGATGCCCGAGCTAAAACTAACCAACAGTCATGGATCGACCGCTGCCTCCCAGCTTCCTTTACACACATCTCACGCGCCAGAAGTCCCCAGCAAAGGCACGGCAACAAATTCATTGTCACACGCCTCGCACGCAAACTCACATTCACGCGCCCCTGCACCCGCGCCTGCACCGGCACCCGCACCGGCACCCGCACCCGTGGCAGGCGCTGAACACGCATACTCAGTGACAGGCACTGAACACGCATACTCCGTGACAGGCACTGAGCACGCATACTCACACTCACACGGTGACAAGACCAATGTCACACCCAACAGCGACGAAATGGGCAACGAAGCATCTAAACTCAAGATCAAACTTTCGCACCTGAACCTGCGTGACCAGCGAAGTGTGGGCAGTCAACAGCAGGGACATGGTGGCCTGGTGTCGATGAGCGACTCGGCTCTTGATCAGGTGCCACGCCTGCCGACGCCCGAATATCAGACGCAAGATATTCGGACCCCACTTGTTGATGGCGTCGTCTCGCCCCTCTCGCCGGCGCCATCACCACACCCGCCCTCCGAAGAGCAACTGGCCGGTCCCAAGCCGCAGGCCAAGCCGTCTATTCAGCGCAAGGCCATCGGCGGGCGTGACCTACACAGCACAAAAAGCCTGCCGCAGATTCGCACGGAAGGTCCCGGCATCACAAACGCCGAGCCCTTTCCCCCGGCACTCTCTACGCCTATTGTCGCCCAGGACGCCATCGCCAGTCCCTCGAGCGCCTACGCTGCCGCATCTGGCCAGCCGCAGCCACAGCCGCAGCCGCAGTCGCAGCCGCAGTCGCAGCCGCAGTCGCAGCCGCAGCAGGGGTTCCGGCCACCCACGAGCTCTCGGCCACAGCAGCAGCGGCCTGCCGGCCTTCCGCTGGAGCCCCCGGCGCTCCGAGAGAAGAGGTCCCAAGCGACAAGCCTGCGCAGCCCGCATCCCGGCATGCAGCGGTCGCCCGAGTGGCGCACGTACCCCGAGCTGCGCGTCGAAGACCTGCCGCCGCCCAACCCGGCGGCGCTACGGTTCCCGGCGACGGTCATGACGCCTGCGGCGGCGGGCGCGGTGTTCCCGGCGCTGCCGATCAGGCCCAGCATGGTGGACTGCCACCAGAAGCACCGGTTCATCAACCGCAGCCGGCAGAAGAAGTACGCCGTGGCGTGCCAGACGTGTCACAAGGCGGACCGCGAGGACAGGTGGAAGTGCGCGGCGTGCGAGCTGCGCATGTGCGACGGGTGCTTCCACTTTATGAACACCAACGGGCGCGACCTCAACAAGCTGGCCGACTACCTCGAGGCGCACCCCGGCGACATGGCGGCGCCGCCGACGCCGGTGGCGATGCAGCACACGGCGCGACCGGGCACGGCCATGTCCAACTATGGGTCGCGGCCGGGCACGAGCATGTCGCAGCACGGGCCCCGACCGGGAACGGCCATGTCGCAGCGAGCATAGGGACTCGAGAGGCACGACCTTTCGATGGTCTTGGAGTGACGGGGATGAAGGAGCATGCCAGGATTTGACAGAGGGGACGAACGAGCATGCATGGGTCATGATAGAGGGGACGAACAAGCACGGATCATGACAGAAGGGGACCAAGGAGCACGCAAGGGTCATGATGGAAGGGACCAAGGGGGCTCCTCATGAATGCAACGAATGGGTAGAGCGGGGCGTACTTGTGTGAATAGATGTAGCGAGATGCCATGTTTTCGTCGGTTGCCGCGATGCTGGTAGGGCTGGCACGCGCGCTTTGGAGGGGCTCTGGGCTTGGTGGAGTGGCCTGCACTTCTGGCCTGCACTTCTGGCCTGCACTCGGTGACTCTAATACCATGTTGACTACGAGGCGCGCTTGTCTGGTTTTGGTGAGCTGTGTTGGCGTGCATTATATTGGCGACATGGTGATATGGTGCAACATGGTGTTGTGTTGGGGAGTCCCAAGTACATGTACCTTAGCAAGCCGCAATATCGAGGTACATGTAAGCACATAGCCTGTGGCGTGGCTGTCAGGGAGGCGTACCATGTACAGGGTACCATGTACAGGGTCCTCCACTGCCGGACCCGCCATCCCCTGCGAGCATGTCACGGGCCAGCGGCTACTTCGTCAACACCAAACACAGTCAATCGACTCTACCTAGACACCACCACCACCCCTCGATAGCAAGCTCCCATTGCCCCTCCATCTGGGCTCCGTCCCCTTGTCTCGACGCCATGTCGTCCAATCCGCCACTCACGCGCACGCGGTCCCTGCGAAAACCGACGCCAGGAACAGCCACCGACCTGTCGCTGAGGTCCATCGCCCCAGCAACACCGACAGCCAGCGCGACGACAGCCCGCCGCAACATGTCCCCGAGTCGTCTGCCTTCCCTGCGGCCCGTCACGCGAAGCACTTCTACGGCGGCAGCGGCAGCGGCAGCGGCAGCAGCAAAAGAGGCGCCTGCCAGGCGGACGCGGCCCGTCTCTGGCACCCTCGTCCGGCCCCCGAGCGTCACCTCGAAAACCCCTACCACCACGAGCACGACCTCCTCCACGAGCATGACCTCCTCCACGAGCACGAGCACAAGCACGAGCACGAGCACAAGCACGAGCACAAGCACGACATCGAGGCCACTCGCTGCCACGGCGAACACGACGGCACGACCTCAACAGACAGACGCCAGCAGGCCCCGCTACCCTCCCAATGCCTCGTCCTCGGCGGCAGCGACCGTCAAGCGGCCGACCTCCTCAGGCGGTCTACCAGCCCACACGAGAACAAGGTCGACGACGACAGCCCCGGCCAGGAGCCAAGGCCACGTCCGCGCCCGAAGTACGGTGACGGCCTCGTCGACACCCTCTCTGCCTGCAGCCTCTACGGTCAATCGGCCGCCCTCAGCAGGCCCAACAAGCCATCCCACGCGGCCGCCCTCGGCCCACGCAAGGCTTGCCAGACAGCCCACCACCGCGAGCACGACAGCCACGGCAGCGACAACGGCCAACCCGACGACGAACCCGCCCCGCCTCCTCCAGAAGAAGCCGGCCTTCTCGACCCTCCAGCAGCACTACTCCCCGCAGCGGACGACGGCGCCGAAGCCGGCCACGGCCTCGTACCTCGCGCCGCCCTCGCCCTCGAAGCTCCCCGCCAACCTGGCCCTCACCGCCGAGACGGCCCGCCTGCAGACGACGCTCCTGCAGCTGCACCTGCTGCACCGCGACGCCCCCGCCACGGCAGCCGACTGGCGCGCCTCGGCCCGCGACCGCCTGGCCGCGCGCCACCGCCGCCTCGCCGCGCGCCACGGAACCGCCGCGAACGTCGTTGACGTGGCCGCAACTGCATTCAACGTAGCCGACCGTCATGCCTGGTACGCCGCGGGCGACAGAGACAGGGACACCAGACTACCTGTCTCGGGCGCCGTCTTCCCTCTCGACTCCGACGCGGACACGATTCGAGACCTCCTCCGAG